CTTACAACCACTGTGTGTAACAATATAACAGCTCAGTCTTATTCTCAAATAATAAAATCAGAACAAAAGAAAAATTTTAAAACATTTTGCCTTTTTTATATTTCTACTTCATGTACAGCACATAAAACTGTAGGTTTTAAACTTCTTCATAAGGTAAACCCACATTATCATAGTAGCTGCTATTCACCCTTTCTATTGCATGCATAATCCAGTATCCTCTCAGGTTTTTTTTAACACCTACAAGATGCTACAGCAAGAAGTTTCACAGCTTAATACAAACTGGTAGAAAAACAATTTCATCCCATTTTCTTCTGTCATATTTGCTAATCTCTTTTCATGTCTCGTTAGTTCTTATACTAGAAGAAAGTGTAATTATTTTTGCATAATGTTATAGACTTCTCTCAGATTTCCTCAACTCAATCTTTTTCCCAGACTACTGAAAATGTAGTTTATTAGTAATTTCTTACTCAGAAATTGTCTGATATGTTTACTAGTCATGTTTTGAGATCTGGGAATGAGATCTATTCACACTATGAAAGACTGGGGTAACCATGCCATAAGGAGGTTTGCCATTCCTCTTCTAACAACTCACTGCCACTGAGCTATTTCCCCACTGAACTATTCCATACAGAAAAAATGTCCCCTGACACCACTGATGGAGTTAAGTGAAAAGGCTTTAAAGGGCAGCTAATTATTCCCTCATTTCATTAGTCAGTCCTTTATCAGTTTCTACATGACCATCCTCTGCTCCTGGCTTTTGTTTACTGTTAACCTTTTTTACAGAGGAGTCTTATTCCACAGCCTCTTCTTCTGATATTTCCATCCAAGAACAATACTTTGATGAGTTCACCACATGAAGGAAGCCAGTATCTATTCTGATCAATGCTTTACCTTGGATTCCAGGAGCAAATTTATGGAATGACTTTCTGCTGCACTCCTACAGTGGCTGACAATTACAACTCTACAGTGAAGCCACAAAGTAACTCCACTGCGGAACCAATTTCCAAATACTGTACAATGAAACTAAGTTCCTTCTGTCTCATTTGTAACTAATTTTCTCCATGATTTTTGCAATCAAGCTTCCACAGTGAGCTGCCAGGAAGTGATTTCTAAGACTCAAACCCTTGTATTTCAGAAGTTACTCAACTGTTTACAGTATAGAGAAAAGAATCATTGGCAGTGTGTGAGGGTGGAGGGCAATGAAACTCTTCCCATACAGATGTGCTTCCCCTTCAGACTTCACTGACCATTTATTTACCTAAGGATTGAGTTCCAACTGTTTCTGGTTTTTCATTTATTAGCACTAAAACACATGGATAAACTCAATGCATAAATATTTCTGCCATAATGTAAACTGTGAACTCATTCCAGAGCCCTCAATTACTGATATTTATGACATACCCTGTTTCCTCCATGATGCAACCACCCCAGGATTCAGTGCAGTCACACTCTTCTCAGACAAGACCAAAATACAACAGAAAAGGAGAGAAGTTATAAATATGCTTACAATAAATGTAAAGTACTATAAAAATAGAGCTTGACTAATTATACAAAGATTTGATGGTTGCTTGGCTGTACAAACTCTAGCCCCAAAAAGGAAACCAGCCCACTTGAAGACATACTAACACCTTAAATAAATACAATACTTTCAGATTACAATATCTGCAGGTTCTTAAGACTCAACACAAAATTTTAGGCACTACACAAAGCTAAAAATAGTTGGCAACATCCTTCCCTCCATACTCTCAAAATAGGCAGCACAAAGCTGTTTGCAGTACACATAATATTGATGATTTTAAATGTTCACATTTTCTCCTCCCTAAAAATACAGAATACCCTGAAAGAGGATTGTTACTGGACAGGACAGGCTTTTTCCCTTCAGCATAAATTTATTAACAGTAATATGCCAATCAGCCAACCAAACATTCATACAAAAACGTAGTTGAATGAAAATGGATTTACAGTTTACTTACAGCTATAGCATGTAAGTCAACAGTGACCAAATTCATAACATAAAAACAAAAGATCAGCACCTTATGGTTGATAAAACAGAAGCTGCAAACTGCCCATAAAAATGATCTACCAAAGATAGATGTACTGTAGTTACTACTGGAAATCCAGAGTTTCTCCGTGGAAAATATTTAGAAATCATTTATGTGGTTATTTCTACTCTCCCCAGGCCTTTCACTAATCTTTCTCTATAAAGGGCATCCAAATAAGGACACTAAGCTATCATATCAAAAACCTCTATTTTTCAGTTTAAAAATATTCTGATTTCCAAATTGTATCAACTCTGTTTTATCTGTAAAACAATTATATAGAAAATAGTTTAGCAATTTGCTAGTTTATATAATTCAAAAGCAATGCTTTACAAAACAATATTCCTAAGCATGGTTTCCTAACTCACAGAATTTTGAAGTGATCCACAATAAAGCCAACATTATCATTCACATTTTTAAAGAGGAAACAGAGCAGGTAGCCAAACTCCTTACAAGATGCAAGTGAAAAACCAAACAATTTTCTTTAGCCCTGAGAAGGGGTTTGCAGCAGTTTTTGTACCAACACTCTACACATGTTAAGGTAACACAAATCTGGTCTGACTGCGAAGCAGCAAGATAACAAATTGAGCAAATGACACACTGGACTAGATTATAACTCCTTACCATTTCTTCAATTGTAAATCAGGCATTTTTGCATTTCAAGAAGTCAGCAATTGTTCTATTGGATTTACAGATTTCATGATGATAGACAATGAGTTCTAAATTAAATTAATGGTGTTTTTACCAATATACCTTTGAATATTGGTTATGAATCTAACCTCGACACAGGACATCACTGAGGTCATGCAAAATGTCGCTAAACTGGCAGCTCTTATTTTGGTGAGGCTGAAATTTCACTACATATATTTCCAAAAGCAGCAATTCTTGTTCTATAGTTACAGCAATTTTGGCATTTCTCTCAAACACAATAAAGGAAGTGCTTGTATTTAGCTAAGGAAGACAAAAGACTCCATGTACATACTCGGTTTCCTGGCAGCTGGCTCCCATTGTATTCCAAGATTCTGAGCAAGACTCTGGGCTAGTTCCTGTGCCATGGGCAAAGGAAGGCCATACTGCATTCCAAGAGAAGCACAATTATAAAGAAACAAAAACCCATTAGTTATTGTAATGAACACTGCACTGGCTCATTCTACCTTACTACATACCTACTATTTTAATAATTCAGTGCAGTCAATCACAATTCTGTGTGCATATAAAGAAAATAAACTCAGTAAGGCACATAACAGATAAAATATTGCTCTCCTAATCTCAGACAATCTCTCCCCACTGGTTAATCTAAAGAAAGAAGTTTATTTGATATATATGCAGTACAGTTTTGTAGTAGTAGGATTTAACCCACATAAAAACAGGAGAATTTCATTATCAACTTAACTCTGCACTGAGGGGAAAAAATAACAGTAATAGTCAAAACATCAATACACGGGGACAATTTTTTTTCTAATTTCAATATTAAAAAATTTCTGGAAGAATCAGATGACATTGGTACCTCTGAAGATCAAGTGTCTTACAGTAGTAAGACAAAGAGTATTCGGTACTGTGTTTCAAATACTCCTAAGATTTTTGGGTCTAAATTTCTGTTAAATATAATAAAAGGCAATTTAAGTTCTTTTTAAGACAATAATGCAGACAGAAGAAATACTTTCTAAAAAGAAAGGCATGCTCAGCAGTAGTTTGATGATGATCAAGAATGCTGGCTGTGAGAATACTAACTTTTTAATATGTAAATTATCTTTAAAACCCTGGGTACTGAAACATATGAACTTGTAAGATTTTAATGTAGAGATTCTACTTTATTTCACTTTAGTCATGAAAAAAAAAATTACCTCATTCACTCCTACTCCTCTGGCCACAGAGCAAACACCTCCAAAGTAACTTAAGCTGCTCCTTTTGTAATGAAATGTCACATTCCTTACAAACAAATAAAAACGAAGAAACTATAACACGTTGACATTGGGCACCAAGAGCTTATTGAAAGAGCATACTCTCACACATACTATGATAGATTGCACGTACATTCATCTATTTCTAGCATAACAAGCAACTGCAAGTTTACAGAATACCAACACTGAAAGAGGTGGTTTTATGTAAACTTTGACACAAATACTATTTTTCTCTTCTAGAGTCAGAATCAGCCTTAACCCACAAACAAACCAAGCACAGAAAGCTTGAGTGCCAGACTCCTAAGGCAATACAGTAACAACATTTCTTTAAAAAGTTCACAATATATTCCAATTTATGATTTGTCATGAAGGAATTCTGTTCTGAAATGTACCAGTACTGAGAACTTTAAAAATTATTATCTCAATCCAAAGTAATTTAAGTTTTAAATCCCAATGAAAAGACTGAGAAGTACATCTAAAGGGAAAGTAATTTAATACTGCTCTTTAACCTTGCCTCCTTTCATTTATTGTTAGTAAGCTCCAAATAATTTAGTTAAGTGATGTAATCTGGAAGATCTAAATTATTCAATAAAATGCCTATAAATTACTATGAATTACACCTATTTTAACTTCATAGTCATAACAATAAATCTACACAGCCTACAAACAACCTACAGTGATCCTGCATGGTGTATGAATGACCTAACCTTTGAAAATTGATGGGTTTTTTTAAAATGACAGATTACCCCATCCAGGTGCATCTTTATTTTTCAGAACATTCTAACAGCCATCAGAACTTTCAGACTGCAGCTTAACTAAACACTTACAGCCAGGGGCTTTACAACAGACAGGATTGCAGGCACTTTTGGAAATGTTCTATTTCACCCCTCCCCAGCTCCAAGGAGGCTGAGCTGGAGCTTGCCATGTTCCACTAGCTTTGGAACATCTCCAAGCATGGGCACTCCATAGTCTCTCTGTGCAGCCTGTTCGAGCATCTGACCAACTTCACAATGAAAGGGTTTTTTTGCCCTATGTTTAAATGGAACTTCTTGTATTTCAGGTTGGATTTGATACTTTTCACCATGAAAAGAGCCTGTTTGCTGGCAAACTCTTCAGCAGGTAACAGAACACATGCATGGAAGTCACTAAGAGTGCATGTCAGCAGCACTGTGCCTGTATTATGAATAACAAAATCAGTGTTGTATTGTGATGCCTGTATTAAGGAAATCTGGAGGAAATTCTTCATCCCCTATTTTTATCTTCTTCTGCAGAAGATGAACTACAGGAGAAAATATATTCACCACGGAAGACATTAGTTACTCCATCCTCACAGCATGTCATGCTGCTGGGAGACAGCTTAAGATCTTTCCCTATGCTGCACAGGGGAGCACACATTTCCTCCTCTTTGCTTACAATGCCATGAAGTAAAATAATCCTTGCTCAAGGCTGAAGTCGTGCCTAGTGATGCAAGTGGAATTTCCTCTCAAAATGCTTTGTGTCTCAGAACAATTCATTACCGCTCTAAAGAAGAAGACCTTCCATTAATAAATCATCACGGCAGCCACATGTGTGAATAAATTTACTAACTGGAACACTCTTGTGGCAACACACAATCCTGTCAGCTCTGCCCTCTCCTGATCGTAACTGGAAAAGCAGCACATTACACACCTGATTAGCAAAGCTAAGTGCCCTTAAGGGCTCATCTAAAGACACTCCACATGTGACACTGTCTCCAGGCTGCAAAGACATTCAAATATCATTATAGATATCTATCCACATGACCATGGTATATACTACACCTATGAAAAACAGGTGTTAAATATCAATTAAGCTTCCTAAGGAAGACAGATGTTGATTGATACAGAGAATATCAAGTGGAAAAAAAAAGAAAGAAGAGCCAAGTGAAGAAAAGCAGCAGACAGGAGCTAGCACTGTGAGCCACTGCCAGGGTACATACGAGAGCAGGTGCACAGCATCGGCGTGCTGCTTGACGTAGTGCTGCCGGTACTTGGAGAAGTCGTGCAGCATCTGCAGGGGGTCGGGGTGAATGTTAATGCGGTCCCTGTCTGTCCACGTCTCCACAGCCACCAGCACCACCCTGGTGTTCAGCTGCTCCTTGTATATCTGAGGGCAGAGACAGGACAGGCACAGGAGTAGAACACTGGGTCAAACATGCACACTTAGCCAGTAAGAGTAAAGCGGAAGGACAAGAGGGATAAAGCAGGAGGAAAACATGGGGAAACGGTTAGCTGGCAATGCCTTGCATTTCCTAAAAGCTGATATTCTGATCCACTTAAATTTTACATTTTAGAAGGAAAAAGAAACCAACCCTTGTTGCACGGTGTTTTTTTTTTTTTGAGCAACTCCATTGTCTTTAAAAATCTCATGGTAAATAATTTTTCCCCTGAGTATTGCAGAAAACCTGTGCAAAAAATCAGCAAGGAAGAAATGTAAAGGTACACTGGGAGATCTCCAAGAAAAAAAACTATCTCCAAGAGTAGCTAAAAACAAAAGTTTTAATTGCAACTTTTAAAGTTACAATTAAATAATGTCTCAGTTTTCCAATAAATCCAAATTTCAATTAATGCTTGATTTCCATTTATATAGTATGATCACTTAATTGTCACATTGCATGAGTGGAATTAAGGAAAAATATTTCTTTTTATTTTTTATTATAAATGTTAATGTTACTGTAGCAATAGACAAGAAAACAGCAATCAGGCATTAATAATAACAAAACAGTTTTAAAATATGCATTTTAACATTGTGCATGACATTGATTCTGACATAAAACTACTGCTGTCTTTGGGTTTAGTTCAAAAAAATGTCAAATTTTAATAACTAAGGTTACACAGAACTTGTAGGTCGACAAAAGATGTATTCCTTATCTGCCCTAACCAGAAACCCAGTTTTGTATCAGGGCAGAGTTATCCTTATTAAAAAGTCAATGTATAATATTCAGCTTAGAAAAAAAAAAGAGAAATAAAGAAACAAGAGATAGGAACCAGCTAAGCCCAGTTTTGTCCAAGACCTTGGAAGGAAAAGAGTATTAGCGTGCTTGAATCTCAGGGAGAGATGTTCTCAGGCTGAGAACATACACAGAAAATGGTTTACAACACGAGCAAATCCAATGAAATTAAACTGCCTGGAATGACATAGGGGTGAATCAATAAAGACTTTATTTCTGTTTGCCTGGAGGAAAACTCTATTTCCTGAAGCAAACAGCAACAAAAACATGGAAGAAGGGGCAGAGAACCTGAAAACCTCTGAAAGCTGTTATCCTATTGCCAGCAATAAATCAGTAAGAAATACAGTCCACACCCTATGGACACAAGGGAATAACAAGGCAGAAAATCCTGCTCTTTTTCATGCTTTATTTAAAGAAAAAAACCACTAAGATGTCATTTTGTAAGATCTCTTTGAAGGGACTGAATTCTACACAAGAATGAAGCCTGTGTTTCTGCATACACACAGATAAAAATGGAAAAACCAGACATAATAGAGAAAGAAAAGGTGGATTAAACGACTTTTGTTAAAATGCAGAAGAAAGAGAAAGAAATAATTATCAGATGAGGAAAAAATAAAGATGTCACCTTTTCTTTGGGTATGTCCAAAATAAATTGCAGAAATATTACAATTATTTACATTTTATATGCTCTAGTAATTTTTCAGATCATTGCAGAAAAATATTCCAAAACACTTCTGGTATTTCATGTATTATAAATATATTCACCTAAATTTTGAATATACATCCAGTACACTTGATATATAAAAACAAATACTGCACTGTTTCCTCCAAGTCAAACTGTTGACAATGTTTTGGACTGAATCATATCACACAGTTCCACTGGTATCAATAATGTCACATGGAAAAGGGACTCGGAGTCAGCATTTGGCACCCTCTGTATTCCTCCCTACTAGAAAATCTACCTGCTTTCAATACATATAGAGCTCTTAAACATGTGTGACCATTATATATGTAGCAAAAAGAGGAATAAAACCCTCCCAAATTAATTTTACCACAAATATTACTTTTAGTTTATATGCTGTATGCAAAATTGTTTTAAATTTAGCACAGATACAAGTAAGGTATCTGTGTCAGATCCACCCATTTATAATGTAGTTCAGTGGCATTTTGCTTGTTTTTAAGATATAAATAGAGATTTATAAAGCAGATTATTTTACTCACACTGGCTTTTTCTTCCAATAGATATATGTATCCCTCGTGAGTTATACTTGCAGTTTCAATCACTTGTAGTTAGAGACAAATATAAATTTGATTAAATCTTAATCTTAATTGGTGGCAGATAATGAAATCACCCCTGCCAAAGACACACTCTGAGAGCTGCAAGCTTTAAGAAAAATGCCACAGATAATCTGATAGTTTCTTATACATTCACCCCAGGCTATTCTTCTGCAGAGGAACTAGAAGTGCACTTTAAAGTGTAATTGAAATTTGGTATCTGAAAATGATAACATTTTTAACACAGTGCTAAAGTAGAAGCCAGTGAATCAGTTTTCAGAAGAAATATTGATACTTACAGCATCTACAAGGTTTACCACAGACTTTGCAAAATTGTTTGTGTATGCAGTTGAAGAACGGTGCCTTTTGAACTAAAAGAAGAGAATGTAGAACACAGTGAGAATTTAAATATTTATTACTAATTCTTTATTTTTACAGCATGAAAGTAAAATTAATAATTTAAGAAAGAGTAATGGGAAAACTCAAAAAACCTTTCAGATCACAGTCTATACCTCATATTCAAGAATCCCTGGAAGATAAAGGGAGCTATGTTATGCAGCCTTTCCCAACTGTAAAAGGAGCATTTAACCATAAGAAATACTATGTTTAGAATCAGAGTTCAAATGTTTGAGACAAAATTACAGGTAAACATGAACACAGACATGAGCTCAAAACTGAGAGGATGCTTTACCCATTAAAATTATTTAATCTGATGAGTTACATATCAGACTGTAGTAGCCACATTCCATCACTTTAATTACAAGACATGAAGATGAAGCATTTACCACTTATCCTGTGAACAGCTCTTTGCAAAGGCCTCCTTTTCTACAACAGCACAATACTTTTGTGACATGGAGCAGTAGTTATAGGAAAAGGCAAAATGGAAGGGGGAGCACATGGTAAAAGTAAATAGGTGTTTGAACATTAAAACAGTTAAGCTGAATACCTTAAATCCTAACTTCACTTTTTTTTTTAATAGAGCTAGATGAGCTGTATTACAAGTTCTGCTTTACAATGTCTGTGCATGTCATTACAATGGTTTCGTGTCTTTCCTCATCCTGCCTCATAAGCCCCTTCTGTTCCAAGGCAAATTTTTTAAAGATGCAGCTATGGTATCTGAACATGAATCCATATGACTTTCAAGAAACTGTAAAACTATAAACCAAGATTATATTACACAGTATGATTTGCAGATAGGAAAAATAGGTCTTCAAAATTTCACAGAAAATGAACATGAAATTGCTTAGAACAGGGGAGAAAAGCCTTTATCAAAAAATGTATTAATTTCAGCTACTGGCTAAAAGCAACAAGTCTCATATCCTCACAGTGCTCCATGAAACTGTCAGTTATTCTCTATGAAACACAGTACTTCAAAAGAGGCCTTGGAAGAAGAAACTCTTCTGTGAGCAATTGAGTAGCTGCTCTCAGGTATGGTGCTAGTAGGTGCCCAGGATGCACACTGAGAGGAGCACTATACCATGGACTGCTCCCCAGAGAACAATGACAGTGGGGAAGGGGGAAAGGGTGCCTTTGGCTTTTTGTTTTGAGCCAATCCCAAACCTTTCCAGAAGTGGAAAGGTAAAGTAATATGCTTTGAAAAATGTTCTTGGTTTTCATGAAAGAATTAAAATGCTAAAATCAACAGTAATACACCACGTAATGTGGTTAAACATAGATTCTAAACTAAATTAACCTAAACCAGTAAAAAACACAACAACCTAATTTAATGTGTTGAGATATCTTTATTGCTAGAGGAAAGGAAATGCTGTGAAAATACACAGTATTAACCATTTAACACAATGATCAAGGAGGTTTAAGATACTTCTTCCAACGAAGACCTTTGCTGCAGGGGAAAAATGCCCTCTCCTGGTAAGCAGAAAACCTTGAAAGTCTATTTAGCGAGTTCCTGGACTGGCAAGATGTGACTCCTAACTGTGAACACTTCCCAGGTATATCCATTTTATTATTTGAAAATATTTACTATCTGTTTCTAAGTCACTGATGAGTATGAAGCAAAAAATCTTGTGCTATAAGTTCTAGCAAATAAAGCTTTAGAGGAGACAACAGTGTCTGTAATAAGTGTAGTGAGCTCTTCAAGCACATCTGCAGGGGAATGAGATAGGCCTAGGAATATTTTCTCTTCATGCTTGTCACACCAAGCATAGACAAAATGGCCATAATTTCAGTTACTGTGTCCAAATGCTAAATAACCAACACCTGAATACTCCTAAGAGCAGTTTCCCATCAGGTGGCTTTACAAATGAAAACAGCTTAAGAAATTTCTGCCCTGCTTTTTCCACCCATTCAAATTCCCTCCACAGTGCTAAATTAACACAGATAAAATACAGGCTATGTTTGCCCAGACTACTTCTATGATTTATTAGACAGGTGAGGGGAGGGTACATTATCTGTCTATTCAGCATTGGAACAACTATGAATTACTGCATCCTGTTCTGATATCTTCAATTTCTTGTTCTTAAATATCACCCTTTAGTGTTGACAACAGAGCCCACAACTCCATAAAGCACTGGGAAACTTGCAGCAGGGTGAGAGACATGAAAAGCTTTTAC